GTGGTTGGATGGGTGGTTGGATGTTTGGTTGGATGGGTGGTTGGATGGGTGGTTGGATGGGTGGTTGGATGGGTGGTTGGATGGGTGGTTGGATTGGTGGTTGGTTTTATCAACTCCTTTTCATACTCTCTTGATGTTATAGATATATGGATGCATGGACAAAATATGAGTCTCATACCTTTCAAGAATCTCCATATTTTTAGTAATGTTCTTGTAATGTTATTTTCACTCGAGAGAAACTCTATCCCACAAGAACACCTACAAGCTGAAATACCAAAAATCACTGATTTAACAATAATAACTTATTCGTATTTATTGAACGGAACGGGGATTGGGCGCACGTTACGTACCTAATATGAAAGCCAGTTCAAGGCTGACATTTCCAACATCTATGAAGCAAATATCTTGTCCTTCGACAGACGTCTAAAGGGAAGATAAAGAAATGATGAATGAACTAAAAGGTAAAAGGGATGAATTTATATAGCGCCATTTCCAGGAGCTTAATGGCATGTTACAAGATCAGTGGAGGACTTTACGGGCTGCATATTAAGGCGCTAGTAGCAGCCGTGCAGCTTACAATCATGAGTGATTTGTTATTAAGTGTTATGCCTCCAAATTGGGATAGGCTGTGTAAACGGGAGACAATCCCCTACTCTTACACGAATAATTCAACAGGTTCTTTTATGTCCCCCATTTTACTGCAGGTTAGGATGGGTTGGGAGACAGGGCCTACGGTTTAAAGTCCTTATCCGAGAAGACTAACCATCAGTGGGAGCACTGGCCTCTTATCAATGTGACCTGGCCTCGAGTCCCGCCGGACTCTGTTGTAAGTCAAGAGAAGAAAAAGAAAAATACTAGACTAGAAGAGGATATCATTCATCTACGAAATACTCCTATGTCGAGTTCGCCTTTGCTAAGTCTTAGCCTCGATTGTCTACAAACGTGTTCTTTTCTTTCATTAAGACCCATTGTATAGTGAGGAATGTATGCACTACGCAACGATACGAGTTGATTAAAATGCCACGGGTTTTGGCTGAATAGCTGAATATGATAACGCACAACCGAGGCTAAGGCTGAGCAAAGAGAACGCCAAACTGGAGTATTGACACTACCTTATTTAGCGTTAAATCATCATACACTGACGTCAATATCGAAGCAATGTCTTGAATATCATCTGGAAAACAAAAAGTTTCATTTTTTCGTAAAGAAAAGAAAGTTGACATTAAGTAAGGTTTCGAAGACACATCTGCCCCTACAACAACATCATTATACCGTGTGTCGTCTACCTTTGCGACTGCAGCATTGTGATAAATTCGTTAAGGTAGAGTYGGGCTAAAGTAGGCGGTAAGTATTTGGCGCCTGTGACGTCATGTCTGACAATAGAGATGGCAGCCATATTGGTGTACCAAGCATAAGAAACTAATGACAAAGTTATTCTCAAAGGCACACCAGTATGTCGGCTTTAGCGTCTTGTGAGGGAGAAAACCGGAGAACCAATGAGATGTTTACATTTTCTCAGTTTGTTTGGTTACCTGCAGATGATGCTTGGGTGAGCTGTCTTGTTTGGTTCACTAGTAACACCTATAGGAAAATAGCTTTAATACTGTGATAACGATGCGTAACGCACTTTATTTCACGACATAATGTGATCAAACGGTGTAACGCATCGTAACGCAACGTAACGCAACGCAACGTAACGAAACGTACCCATCACAACATACATAAAATAAAACCACTTGATAGTGTCACGTCTTTAAGCGCTAGAAATTTCAACAGGATGAGCATAAATTGCGCGCGCTGTGATTGGCTTACAGTATGAGCCAACTCCATACTGTGATTGTGACGTGAGCTGTTTTTATCAACAGTCATGTAAGAGCTGCATGAGTAACAAAAACTATTCAAGTACCTTCAAAGACTGGACGTGTTTACGAAGAACTTCCTCGGGTGTTGTCTGCTCGGTAACGCCATCCCTCTTGTCTTCTGTCACGGTATCTTTAGTGTTCGTGTTTGCATGATCATCCACGTGATCATCCACGTGATCAACCACGTGATCAACAGCTTGTCGTAGCCGTGCTTTTTTAGCCTTGGCATGAAGCAGGGCATTGGTAAATTTATCAAAGTGATTGAAGAGGTCCTTCTCTACCATACCTGAACATAACATTAGCACACGTGGGTAGAAAACAGAGTAGATTACGTACGTCTAAGCATAGACCCCTTGCAGTACGTCGAAATGCAGCTCAATTTGAAGGACATAACAATAGGTTTCCAATTCTCATGAGATTCAAATTCTTTTGTTTTGTCCTCCATCTTGAGCTGCTTTGAAGTCACATGCAAGGGGTCTCAGCATTCAAAATCACTCCTTATTCAAACAAAATGGGTGCCGTCATGGTCATGGTACGGAATTGACGACGTTCTTTAAACCAATCACAGCACGCAAGATTACTCCTTATCCAATCAAAATGCTCGGTTACGAGTTTTCTCAGTGACATGGAATTTGTTCTACTCGATGTAGTCTCTACATAGCTGTGGTCACGCAAAGATGGATCTAGGATTTTTTAACAATGAGGGCCATTTAATGAACAAACGATACGGGAGGTCAGGGGGGACTCTGACGCTAAAATAAGAGTAACAAAAGTGATCCTGACCTATCGGACCCTCCTTTAACAGCCACTGCTAAGTTTTCGCTGTTCTTTTGTCTCCTTTGTATTTGTGTTTAATGCATGATATAGGAGTAGGTCTGCACAAGACGCCATTGTCTCTAACACCTTTTCTCAGATAGCAAACATGATGCATTGTGGTCTAGTTTCTGTACAAAAATCTTGGTGAACCTGAATGCATCATGTTTAACTAACTCAAAAAAAAAACGACTTTGGTCTGCGTAGGTCAAGAATTCAATAGACCTTATTCGTGGTGTGACAATGTTTTCCCAATTCAGCGTGACAAACCTCTGGGGGAATGAAGAGCTATTGTTTTGAAACTCGTCGGGATATCATCGTTATTCCTTTCGTATCCTTTGGGATACTCATGAATTTTTCAAAGAGTAAAAACAAAAGAAAATGRATCCCCTGGAAGTTCGTCACGCTGAATTGGGAAAACATTGTCACACCACGAAGAAGGTCTATTAATGAGTATCTTACTTTTGAAAAAAAGTATCTTACTTACTGGGTAGTGACAGATGAATCCAGTCACTTGACTTCTGCTTCACGTGACGCGCTGTGAGCTGAGCCGCCGTGCTGATCACCTGAAACAAACGAGATTGAAATAGAAAATGAAAGGAGTAGTAAGTAACGAAGAAGTAAGTAAACCAATATGTCTTCTTTGTACAAAAGTCGAAGGGACATATGAGTTAAGTTCAAATCACAGCATTTTACTCCATATTCAACCACCTTAGGATAATTTTTAAATAATTTAAAAATATAAAAGAAATTTTGAAATATGCAACTCTACTTACGAATAGCTACGAGTTCAGGGATCTAATCAACAACCACAGCACAGCGGTGAGAAGAAGCGCATTAGCAGCACACTGTCACCGGTGCAAAAGCAGGGCTCGCGATAAAGGAATGTTTGTATTTACCTTTGGGTTGGTATCTTCAGGACAAAGAATTTGAAAAGCTTTCAAAGAGGTGTCGCTGCTGTTCCTGTTAAAAAAAAAACAAAATTTTCAGATTAATGGCTTCGGATAGATATTTCAAGATAATTCTTGATGTTGTGTTTATATTTCTTTATATTTCTTTCTGAACAGTTTCTTACTGCATTATTTGAATGGCGTTAGATTCCCTACCCTAGAACCTTATTTTTTCTTCCGCCTCCACAAAAATAACCAAGGTTGGTATACACCTAATTGCAAAAACGTTGTCATAGAAAAATGAAAAATAAAAAATTACTATTTAAAAAATGTATCATTATTATTTGTTTGTAAAGCACACACTGGATTGAAGAAAATGAGGTAATATCAAAAATGTCAGTCTATACCCTCAAAACAGTAAAATAATTACTCCTCTTTTGTTCAAAAAATAATGAATCCCTAATCAAACGTCTCTGCAATTCGGTGTAAGTGATTTCTGATTGGTTCAGACCGAGAGCCAATAAAAGTCAAGGCAATACTAGGGGTTTCTAATGTGATATTTAACTCCTATGTCGGTAATAACGTATAATAGAATCTTACGCTGTAATGTCAAGAGCTTTCTTGACGGCATCACTAGTGACAGAATGAATGAGATGAAGCACTTGGGGGCGGCTTTTCTCCTGAAACAAAATATATATAAAGCTGTTAGGAGGGTATGGAAAACAGATGGATAAATGGGATGGGAGTAATGGAATAGGATGCGRTGTAACGTAATAGAATAGGATGGGTCGGATAGGTAGAATTAATGGATGAATTAATGAGAGATGGATGGATGAGTAGATGAATATATGAGAAGACTCCTTGCAGCCCATCAGAATACAGCTTAATTTGGAGGACATAACAATAAGCTTCCAATTCTCATGTTGAAATTCTTASGTTTTGTCCTCCAAATTGAGCTGCTTTGTCGTCACGTGCAACTGGTCTATTCAAGAAGTAGAGAGCAACGTCTCTTCTGTGTGCAGTTATAAAGCATGCAGTATTTGGAAGAACACGAGAGGAGGGTTATGAGAAGGACGGCGTACAGCACAGCGAGCAAGCTTTTTTCATTATTTTTTATAAAATACAAATCAAAATAAGCATTCTGTGCATGTGTGTGCTCTCATAAAGCACACGCACCCAATCAATCACAACGCGAGTTTTGAAATAGTTATTTTTAAATGATGGATGGATGGAGTTGTGCATGAAGGCTGAATGGATGAATAGACTAATGGGTTGGTGAATGGGTGAATAGGTAAATGGATGGATGGATGGGATGGGATGAGAACAATGGGTGGACAGAAGAGTACACAATGAGAGTGGATGGGATGGGATGGGATGGGATGGATGGATAGGTATCATGAATACCTTAGCTTGGTCACTATTCTCATCATCAGGGAATCCTATACTCGCGAGGTAAGCTTCCATCTGTTCAGCTCCCTTCTTTAGCGCACCTGGCACAATGGACGTCTTTATTCCAGAAAGAATATTCGAACACAATCTTTGAAGAAATTCAAGACGTTGTCATAAGATTTCTACCTATTTGCAGAACTTGGGCTAATTTTGGGCACAGAAAACGAACCTCTTGGTAACAAAAACTTCATTAGAATATTATAGAATGGAAAGGTACAGCAAGTTTTATTTAGAGTGATTTTCATAAACCCGTGAAACAAACGCCATCAGTTAGTGCGTAATAGTGAAATTACAAGAGAACACAATGGAATTAGGGTCAACTAATTTGTATTATCCTGGTATGTATTTTACGGGTTTATGAAAACCATTCTATTTGCAGCAACTTTATTTATTTCTAGAACTGAATTTCAATAGATAATTTTCATGGATCCTAATTAATTTGCAGCAGCTTTTATTTGTTCGCAGTTGTCCCCTGTGGGCCAGCGTAGAATGGTATAGAATGGCATACAATAGAAAACTTCAAACAATAGTCCCTCATCGCACTACGTTCACTACCCACCTTTCTATTAAGAACTCCGATGTTCTCTTCAAGAAATCGGGTTGAATTCTGTAGAAATTCTCTTCAAGTTGTTGCTGAAAACGTCGACAAACACGAAAAAGAAATGCTTTGAGGAAGTGGACTGGTTACATTTATTAATACTCATTCCCCTTGTGATGTCTAGAGTCAGCCGACCTTAGGTAGCTCTCCACGCATTTATCCATATTCATGTGTCTTCTCATGTGCAACCATTAAACAAACAAACGATACTCAAGGGAATGAGACGTTTTCTGGATGGGGACAACATTACAGACATGCCAAACAGGTCCACCACTTACCAGTAGTTGTCGATTGTTGGAAGACATTTGTGTTGGTTGTTCTGTACAGACTAGTGTGATCTTCTTGACTGGTCCAGCACGGCTAGACATTCCTGTGGATGCCTCTGACAACACATTTTTCACTTCTCCTGTAATAAACAATGTCATTTTCGTTCTTGGTTACTTGGATGTTGTTTAAAGAACTATTAAGAGGATGTAGAGCAGTGCACATACCGAGGTAGGGACACCAGGTGTAGAGCATCTCTTGATCAATGACATCACACGAGTCCTGGTTGAAAAATGCAGGTAGAATCTTATTATAATATATTACCAACTAAGAAGCCATGTTTCTTATTACCTAGAACAATGTGTGTACCGTCGATAGATCTGGAGGTAGACGTCGTAGGTGTGTGAAACATTCATGGCACGCGCTACATGGTTGTGGTACGAGACAGATAGGTATGCAGAGAAACTGAGTCAGAGAGAAAAAGGATGGAGGGAGGGAGGAAGGAAAGGAAGGAAGAAAGAGAGAGAGGGAGAGAGAGAGGAAGTGAGGGAGGAATAAGAATCTTACCAAGCAAAGAGAAGGACGATTCTGCAAGATTTCTTCACTGGCGTTTCGTTCTTCGAAAGACTTGAAAAACAATGACTCTGGTAAAACTGGATTCTGCGCGACAAATAAATAAATGACATTTAAACCCATAATTCCCGTCAGAGAAGCAATCTCTAAAGCTACGTATTCAACATTTTTTGCTAAACAATGTTTTATCACAGTAACACATCCACAGCTAGCACCTTTAGTAATGGCGACAACGGCGATCAGCTAGATACGCACGAAAAAAACTGACAAGTACCGAAAACTTCTCACCTCAGAGGTTTCCCAAACTAACAAAAAACAATATTTTTTTWATTCTTAATGCTACATCACCTTATTACCTCAAAGAGCCAACCAAGACAAGTGACGATGAGAAGACGGCCGTAAGTGACGAAATCTTTGGATGATTGACTGCTGCAAGGATTGAAAAAAGGGCGTATTAAACTTGATATCGTCTGCACTTTATGTCTCTTAGCCTTGCAAGAGAGACACTCTTGTGATGTGATCACTGAGTCCTTATGCTTTAATGTACCTGTAAATATGTACCAACAGAATAAGGACTTTATGGTAATAGTCAAGATAAGGTGCCACAGGGTCCATCATGCTGAGGTACTCCACAACCCAGGGCACTGTTAGCACTAGATTTCCCTTCTCGAGAGCGGTCTTTAAGTAGCAAAGGACATCGAAGGGTTGAGGGACCTACGAAGACATAAACTGAAATGTTAATAAACATACCACGGAAAACTGGAGAAAATTGGTTAAATATTAACCCACTACAGAGTAAAATGAGTTCACGTGATCTACCTAGCAATCAACAGTACTACCATTTTCATTAATCTACCCTTTCATTGCAAATTCTCAGTTTAAGTATGTGTTTTTTATTGTTTCTATAGCAACCAAGAGGCTAACAAACCTTATTACGCATGCGTATGACTGGCTCAGCTTCTTGTTTTGATTGGTTGGTGCCACTTTGGTAAGGATCGAATACCAGATATCCCAAGAACTTCGCAAGGATTCGTAGATTACTCAGGCAGACATTGAAAGACTGTTGGATCTCCTGAAAAAAATKTATCAACAGCATTTTAGTGGCACCCTCGACAAAACACATTTAGTTTGTTGTGAAATGTGATCGTCCAGGTGAGTGTAGTCTTGAGAAAGACTGTTGTTGCTGGTAAATGACGTTTTGGACAACCTGAGTGGTAGTCATCTTCAGAGTCCAGTGAGAAAACGAGAGACACTTCAACACTTGAGTTCAAACCATTTACTCTTAAAACAAATTTATTTCTTCAACCTCTTTTTCTTCTTTGGGGTGTTTTTTTCAATGAAAAGAAAAGGTACATCACGCACACGGTAAGACATGCTTTTTCGTCGTTACATATTTTTCCTATGGCCAAGGCAATATAAGGTTTCATTTGGCTACACTACGAGTACCAATCTACCAAATCGTTCGTTTCCTACTCATGCAAAAACATTTCCATTTTGAGTGACCGCGTACCTTCGTTTGTGGATTTTTCTCATTACGTTCTTGATCCTTCGCTTCGCCAAAAGGAAATACAGTATCATTCAACTACGACCAAAAAAAAAAAAAAAAGATGGAGAATAGCTGATATCAGATACACTCTTTTGCCTTCAAACAATTGTTTCAAGTCCAGTCATTTGGGTCAAGAATAGAAGCTGACCCAAATGCAATAATTGTTTATTAAAAGGCATTAGAGTGGAACTGAATTTAGCTCTCAAAAAAAGCGTAATAAACCTTTATCTTAATATTTTGACGTGTTGATACGGGAGTCTTTTTCGAGGATCGCTAGCCAGAGGCTAATGTTTAAAAAATAGAGACCTTTAGTTTCAGGTTTACCGCTAACTGCTAGGAATCATGCCCAGAAACACACCCGCAAACACGGAGAAACACTGGCACAAATGAAATTCAATATAGCGGCTTTTCCAGCAACAACTTCGTTATAACGCCTTGCTGAATGTCAAAAGTTTGACGGAAAACGCCTGACATCGAACTTCAGTTTGCGGTACCTAGCAAGAACGTCGTGCTAAAGGTCTCTAATATACAACACACTACATTCCACACTCACTACCACTGACTACATTAAATATTCTATGCACACCGGCTATTATCTCACACGTTGCCTGATTTTTAAGAAGGGAGAAAAACCAAAGAACCTAGAGAAAACCCTCGTGGCAATGGAGAGAACAACACATCAAATACACGTTTTACCTCTACGCTACCCTTAGTAGCAAGAGTAACCTTCAGCTACGGCCTTACAATAATATGATTTAACGTTTAAACAAAAGCTGTACCTCTGTAATCTTCATGATAAGGTTATCCATTAGGTGACGACTGAATGAATGACTGAAAGAAAAATAAAAGACTAAAAATCATAAAATGAAACTATCCAAATAAGTTGAAAATTCCTTATAATAAGTGAATCAACAACTAGCTCTCAGAAAAATGCGAGCATTGAATTCTGTCATAATTCTAAATCTTTAAAAATGCTTACACTTTTTGTCGCTCAGTAAAAGTTTTCAAAGGCCCCAAAAAATATTTTCAAAAGCTTAATTTTTTGAAAACATTATCCGTGATCATCAGAAACTCACGAATTTTGTTTCCTAGTAAAATAAAGGTCGAAAATTTGGTTTCATAAACACTTTAATCTGCAAATGTTTCCCATCACTACAGATGTTCTTCTATCCTCTCCCTAACAAAGCTACAGTGTGTAATATAGATTAGAACAAATGAAAAAGTGAAAAAAGCGAACATACCTTTCTGCGCATGTTATAAATCCTTTGAAGAACTCCTGGATTTCACTAAAGGACGGTGGAGGGCAAGGCCCAGTAAGGGACAAGGGAGTCACAAAACGGTCCTGAAGTCTGTGGTTTAGATAAAAAAGAGTTGTCAAATTTTTAGGTTTTGCAGARGGAGGGAAACCAGAGAACCCGGAAAAAACCCTTGAAACAAGGGTGAGACGTTGAAAACTGAAGTTGCAAAGGAGAATTGTATTGCAGCAAGCTTGCGTCAGTTCCTCGCTTTACCTTTGGAATTTATCAGGGTTTGCATTACGTAATCTGGCGAGAGAACTGTTTGGATCTGAACTAAGGTTCTCTCCTTTACACATCTGAAATAGAGCATTTATAATTTTAACGCCAGGCACAGATGATATTTGAATAGTAGTTTACTTCTGACAATCACCATCACCATCATCATCACCATGATAATAATAATAATAATAATAATAATAATGATGATGATGATATTTATTCAGACACGATATTGATATTACAGCTCTGCTGATATATCTGAAATGATATATATTGTACGTGTTACAGTTGTTATCATCATCATCACCATCATCACCAACATCATCATCACCATCATCTTCATCATTTATCAATAGCATCACTATCACCATCAGCATCAAAAGGACCACTATCTCCTTCATCACCATCATGATCATGATCATTATCACCACAAAACTAGTCATTATCATCATCATCATCACCTACCAAAACAAGCATGATCACCATCATTACCATCCAGCCGTCATCCAAAGTTTTTTGGCTTTCTTAAATTTTTAAACATCACAGTTTGTACACAAATTGTCATACCTGGAGAAGCTGTGACTGGAAAAGCCTGGCAAATGGTGCATGATTAGCAAGATCTGGTCTTTGATGAACTAGAGACCTTTGGGAATAGAAGGTAGTGAGATTGAAGTCAGAAAATAAAAGAAAGAATAGAAGAAAAAGACATTAAAAAAGTAAGAAGAAAAAAATACATTTAGTTGTATGTAAAAAAAATAGTTTTGTCCTGCAGTACCTTATGTTATTTCCCATGTTTTCCTCCATTATCCAGCCAGGTTTATTGTGACAATCTTCCCATTCTCTTACAAGCTCATAGAACAAATCCCTGGTAAACAAAAATAACAAAATATCACAATGAATAAGTTGTAAGGAAAGGGGGCCAAGATGATGGTAAAATGGTAACCTCTCAGCTCTACAGTCCAGGCTTCAATTCTCAGTTGTCTTATGTGAGCTGAGGCACTAGCTAAGCAGCAGCAGCAGCAACAGCAACGGCAGCAACAACAGCAGCAACA